GTAGAAGAGGTAAACGTGCGGGAGTGCTCGTGCGTCTACGAAGACGCGGCTCACGTACGCCCTTACGTGGGATCTTCCTCTCAAATGTCCGCTCACTTAGTAACAAGACGGATGAACTGGCGTTGCTGATGAGACGGAACAGAGACTTTTCTTCCTCTTCTGTCTTGTGCTTCAAGGAGACATGGCTCAACAAGCAGATCCCGGACTGCGCGCTCCATTTGGAGGGATTCCAGCTCATCCGCGCCGACAGACAGCGGGTCTTATCTGGAGGAAAGACAAAAGGTGGAGGTGTCTGCTTCTACATCAACAATGCCTGGTGTTCGGATGTGACTGTGATTTCCCAGCACTGTTCTCCTGCCCTGGAATTCCTCTTCATAAACTGTAAGCCGTTCTACTCCCCACGTGAGTTCGCTTCATTCATTCTGGCTGCTGTTTACATCCCGCCGAGCGCAGACGTGCACGAGGCACAACGTGCGCTCGTGGAGCAGATCCTAAGTGTGGAACAGACCTTGCCGGACTCTCTAGTTATTATCCTCGGGGACTTTAACAAGGCAAATCTGAGCCAGGAATTGCCTAAGTACAAACAATTTGTTAAATGCCCGACAAGAGAGCAGTACACGCTGGACCACTGCTACACCACAGTTAGTGGAGCTTATCGGGCCGTGCAGCGAGCTGCTCTCGGATTCTCAGACCACGCTATGATCCACCTCATCCCCTCATATAGGCAGAGGCTGAAGCTCTCCAAGCCTGCAGTGAGGACTACTAAAAAGTGGACCTGCAAGGCTGTGGAGGAGCTTCGCGTGTGTCTGGACACAACAGACTGGAACATGTTTGGATCTGCCACAGACAACTTGGATGAATATACAGACACTGTGACGTCATACATAAAATTCTGTGAGGACAGCATCATTCCAACAAAAACCAGGGTCACTTTTAACAACGATAAGCCCTGGTTCACACCCAAACTGAGAGAGCTGAGGAGGGAGAAAGAAGCAGCCCACAGAGCCAAGGACAGAGAAAGCTACAAGGGCGCTAAGTACAGGTTCTCAAAAGAGTTGAAGAAGGCGAGATCTCTGTACAACAAGTGACTAAAGGAGCAGTTCTCTGACAATGACACCGCCTCTGTCTGGAGAGGGCTCAGGCAAATCACCAACTACAAGCCCAGAGCCCAACATGCTGCTGACGACCTACAACTGGCTGAACAACTCAACTCCTTTTATGCAAGGTTTGAAGTGCAACACCCATCCCCCACACCCCCTACTGCACAGGTTTCTTCAGCCACTCTGGTGTCACATGCCTCCCCCACCACCTTCACCACTGTGAATAGTACAGTCCCCACTGACCACCCCTCCCCCTCCATTGCCATCTCAGTGAAAGAAAAGGATGTGCTTAGGGTTTTCCGTAAGCAAAACCCTCGGAAATCCCCGGGCCCGGACGGTGTCTCCCCCGCAACCCTGAGACACTGCACAGAGGTACTGTCTCCAATCTTCACGGACATCTTTACCATCTCCTTGGAGACCTGCCATGTTCCAGCCTGCTTTAAGCTGTCCACCATTGTTCTTGTGCCTAAGAAACCCCATGTCACTGAACTGAATGATTATTGGCCTGTGGCGCTGACGTCTGTAGTCACGAAGTCTTTTGAGCGCCTGGTCCTCCCTCATCTCAAGTCCTTCACCTCCCCCCTCCTGGACCCTCTGCAGTTCGCATACAGAGCTAATAGGTCTGTAGACGACGGCATCAACCTGGCCCTCCACTTCATCCTGCAGCACCTGGACTCCCCGGGAACCTACGCTAGAATCCTGTTTGTGGACTTCAGCTCTGCATTCAACACCATCCTCCCTGCTCTGCTCCAGGACAAGCTCTCCATGCTCAACGTACCCAATTCAACCTGCAGGTGGATCACTGACTTCCTGACGGACCGAAGGCAGTGCGTGCCGCTGGGGAAGAATGTTTCCACCATTCAGACAATTAGCACAGGATCCCCACAGGGCTGTGTACTTTCTCCTCTGCTCTTCTCCCTGTACACAAACTGCTGCACCTCGAGCCATGACTCCGTTAAACTGATCAAGTTTGCGGACGACACCACCCTCATCGGGCTCATCTCTGACGGTGATGAGTCCGCCTACAGGAGGGAGGTGGAACGGCTGGTGTACTGGTGCAGCAGCAACAACCTGGAGGTCAATGCTCAGAAGACAGTGGAGATGATTGTGGACTTCAGGAAAGTCACTGCCCCATCTCTCCCCCTCGTCCTGACGGACACCCCCGTCACCACTGTGGACTCCTTCCGCTTCCTCGGAACCACCATCACACAGGACCTTAGGTGGGAGCATCCATCAGCTCCCTGCTCAAAAAGGCCCAGCAGAGGATGTACTTTCTGCGGCAGTTGAAAAAGGCCAAGCTGCCGGCCCAGATGATGGTGCAGTTTTACACGGCCATCATTGAGTCCATCCTCACCTCCTCCATCGCTGTGTGGTACGCTGGAGCCACAGTGAGGGACAAAAATAGACTGCAGTGCATTGTGCGCTCCGCTGAGAAGGTGATTGGCTGCAGCCTTCCATCTCTCCAGGACCTGTACGTCTCCAGAACTCAGGGGCGTGCAGGCCGGATAGCAGCTGACCCTTCTCACCCGGGACACAGACTTTTCGAGCCGCTTCCCACAGGCAGGAGGTTACGGTCCATCCAGACCAGAACCTCCCACCATAAGAACAGCTTCTTTCCATCTGCCGTTAGACTTGTGAAAAGCTTATAAATACGCAACCATGTTCGTCTGCTGTACTTGACATAACGCCACGTTATCGGCCATATTACCATTACCTGCCTTTTTTATAGCTGAATGTTTTATGCTAGTTTTATTATATTTTATTCTACTTATTCTATTTTTGAAATTTATTATTCATGTTATATAGCACATTAGTACCGAAACAAGTTCCTAGTTTGTGAACTGCTTGTTCACTGAAAATGGCAATAAACCTTTTCTGATTCTGATTCTGATTCTGATAACCAGTAAAGGTTGTACCCCATGTGCAGCAGTACAGGGACCAGAGTGAATAGGGTGTGTATGAGGAACATGAGTGGGTGTCCGGCGTGCATTTTTGTAAGTCTTTGGTTGTATGTGCATGTGTGAGCATGAGGGAGGGAGTGTGTGACTGTGCTTGTGTATGACTGTATATGTCAGGTGGGGCCTTTGACTCCTCCCCTCTCCTGGGACTTCTTTTGATGATATAGATCTTCGTCTCCCCTCCCCCTGCCACACCTGGTGTGGAGTGTGGTGCCTTGGTCTGCCTGAGTGTTCGTGGCTCCCGGGTCAGGGGGTTTAAGATTTTTGGCATCTGCCTGATCAATCCCAGTGGCTGCCTGGTGGGGTCTGGGTCCCTGGGCTCTGCTGGGTCCCCGGTGGGGGTGGTCGCCCCTGGGTTCCGGGTCGCTGGGTCCTGGGCTCGGCCGGCTAGGGGGTGGGAGGCTGCGGGCAGGCCTGTGGGCTTGCCGCTGATATCTCCCGGGACTCTGCCGGCTGCTGGTTGTGGCCCCCTGGGGCGATCCTCTGTGCCTCTCGAGGGGGGCGGGGGCCTTTCTGGTTGCAGTCTCCTTGGGGTTCCTGTGTTCTGGGGCAGCGCCCGGATCTCTGGGACTTGGAGCTCACTCCGTCTCCTACACATCTTTGGGGGGCAGATCTGTGGTCCCTCACACTCTCTATTGGATGCTTTTATAGAGAAACCTTACATAAACAAGCGCGTGTACACACACAGGTGCTCACATGGTGCTCTCAAAAGTATGGGCTTGAGCACGTTCAACACATGTCTTAAGGCTGTCGTTGCCACTAAATGCACTATGATTTATTATCATGTGATTGTTCAGTTAAACAATGTTGATTTTATATTTCATCATCAGGTTGACGCAGTGATAGCTTGCTCCTGATGTATTGTTGTGTGTCCCATTTTTTCTATTCTTTCTCTTTCTGCGGTCGTAGAAGCAGACTCTTGTTCATTATAGTTTATTTTTGTGGACCCCCCCCCCCCCCCCCCCCACACACACACACACCTTTTGTCTTTTCCTTTCTCTTTCACCTCTGTCTCCGTGTCTGGTCGGAATTACAAAGCATTCAAAAACAATAACAATAAAGTTTTAAGTATCAGGCGTGACATTAAAAGCAGACGCTTTGATGCTCCACCTGAGAGTAAATCTGTAAGGCTTGTTACCAGCATTCAGACATCAATTCTGTTTGCTTCACAGCCAGACAGGACACGGAAAAAAAAGAAAAAAAAAGTGGAGGACGTTTCTCCCCCTCCTTACCCAGACACTTGAGAAGAAATGGACCAAGTCTATTTGGAGGAGAAAAGTGGACCTGAGCCTTATTGTTTTGAGCTTGTGAGTTGCCTGAAACTACCGGAACCAACCCAAGAGAACCAGCTCTGAATGGTAAGTAGCTGTTACCCATAGAATTTGATTAGCTGCAGGGTTTGGCTCCATGGCCGTAGAGAGCTAGTATTCAGCATGTTTTAGGGATGTATCTGCTTCAACACACCTGGTTTTAAACAGCAATAAATGGCTGAGCTGCTTAACAGCTAATCTAATCTGTTAAAGCAGGAAAACCACTGAAACGTGCTGGATAGCAGCTCTCCAGGAGCCCTGGGCCTAAGTTACAATCTGCTGCAGAGAAAGTTATGAAAATACCCCATGAGAAAATTATTCTGTAATGTGTTCAGCCCACTAACACTGCCCTGATTTCATTATTTATTTACTGATACCAGCTGCTCTCTTGGTCGTAGGTCCCCTGTTGTCTGCAGCTGGTCTCCTCTGGTGGTGTGGTCAGGATCAGGAGCTTCCAGAAGAATGTGCCTTTGAATGACTCTTTCCTCCTCTAAACAGTTATTTGTTATATTAATTAAATAAATCTCAATTTATATATTTCCTGTTTTTGTTCATCTCCATAAATACTTAAACATGCTTGAAATTAAAATGAGCTTTTAACAGTGAGGTGCTAGTTTCATCACAATAGCGCTAGTTAAAAATGCAACAATGTGATAATTCAATTACTGTAATTTATAAATATCCATTAAAATATAAAAACTGGAATCAAAATGAGACATTTGGCAGCACAAAAAAACTTGTCAAACACAATATTTATTTTAATAATTGTAGGCAGACAGGAGACAGAGCTGGTGGAGGTTCTCAGTCATCGAAGGATGGCTGAAGGCTTTCCAGGAACAGGAGATGTGGTGTTGTCTCTTCTCTCTCTATTCTGCCAGATGAGCTGATAGGTTACAGGTGTGTGAGGACATCCTCATGCTGTCATAACCAGATGACATGAGTTATCAGGTGATCAGCCAGGCTAATGATGAGATGCAGAAAGAAAACAAATCCAGGACAGTGTACAGTAATGACAATAATAATATGTGGTGTTGCTCACCTTATGTGCTCTTATACAGTATTAACGTGTGCCTGCCTCATGGTGTTGCGTCCATATTTTGCTGAGTGCCCTGCAATAATGCAGGTTATTAGTTAATTTACTTTTAATAGCAAAAACCAAAATATTTAATTTACATGTTGTTTACCAGGTGAATCAGCTCACACGTCACCAAGTGTCACAGGGCCAGAATCAGTAGTCTCCTTCATGATGTCATGATGTAATCTAGCTCCAAGCTTGCAGCAGCAACACACGTGTAGCAATAAGCTATGAAATGAAAACATAGTTAATGTTTAAACTCAAAGGCTGTAATAAAGATTACATGACGATTAACAACAACTCACCTTTACTACACAGTCTGACAGCAGATTACTTGGGTTCATTTAGCCTGAAAAAAAAAAATATAACATCACAGCGTTGTGGGAGGTAGCTTCCAGAGATGAGAAACATGTGGAAAGCAGAGCAAGGACGGAGCTACAGGTTTTTCTGTTAGATCAGGAGGCCCTGAGGTAAAATTGGATGTTGGTGTGAGTCTGGGAAGATACTTCTCTTCATTGATGACCTGCCAGGCTGGGACGTACGAAAAAACCAGAAAACAAGAGTACAGTATTATTATTTAGAATGTTTTTACCTTTATCAGTTCATAGTGTCACGATCTGCCCCTGCCCAACCTGACTGTGTTCCTCTCCTGCCGTGATTGCCCTTATTGTTCTCACCTGTCCCTCGTTTACCTGCCCATGTTTCCCTAATTAGCCCTCTGTATTTAAACCACCTGTTTTGCCCCTGTCCTTTGTCAGTTCATTGTTGTTGTTGTTTGTCGGTGTCCTGTTCATCCCATCCTGCCATTAAACCATTTTTACTTTTACCGAAGCCTGCATTTTTCCTCCTGCTCAGCTCAACCACACATGGTCCATCATCTCCACCTCCTACACCGTGACAGAATGAACTGACCAAACCGGGACCTGTGGTGAGCACTTCTAAATCTCCCTGGAGGAATTATTTTTTCTTTTTTGTCCTTTAGCAGAAGGAGATTCTGGCCCAGGGTGTTGACGCATCCTACCTGTTCTCCGGGGTGGTCAAGCCTCTGGGTGGGTTTCGACGCATCCAGTTCATTTCCTGCGGTGGTCGAGCCCTTCTCCTCACCTGCCCCCGTCCCGTTTGTGTCATGGAAGCCGCGGATCCTGGAGCTCTGAAGGAGTTACACCCCCTACGCACGCAATCATTCTCCGGGGTGGTAGGGTTGGTCTCCCCGCTCTTCTCCTGCTTCCCTGCACCCAAGCCTCTGCCTGAGACCCAGCTAATCGTGCCGTGTACCTGCTCTGATCGGTTGTCGAGCACCTGCCGCCGAGCTGGGTTCCCTCGCATCGCTCCTGCCGTTCGTCCACTTCCTGGTCCACGCTGTGGGGCTTATGCCTGCAGGTCTTGTGCTGCTGCAGCCTCTGCTGGGTCCCACGCCTGCTCCTGCAGTTCTCTGCCTGGGTCTCACGCCTGCTCCTGCAGTTCTCTACCTGGGTTCCACGCCTGTTCCAGTCCAGTCCATGTTTCAGTCCAGTCCATGTTTCAGTCCAGTCCATGTTTCAGTCCAGTCCATGTTTCAGTCATGTCAAGTCCATGTTTCAGTCATGTCAAGTCCATGTTTCAGTCATGTCAAGTCCCTGTTCCGGTCCCTGGGCAAGTCCCTGTTCCGGTCATGTCAAGTCCAGTCCCTGTTCCGGTCCCTGGTCAAGTCCAGTCCCTGTTCCGGTCCCTGGTCAAGTCCCTGTTCCGGTCACGTCCAGTCTTCAAGTCCCCGTCTCCTGTTGTATAGCCTTGTGGGCGTCTGGTATCCCCCCTTAAAGGGGGGGTACTGTCACGATCTGCCCCTGCCCAACCTGACTGTGTTCCTCTCCTGCCGTGATTGCCCTTATTGTTCTCACCTGTCCCTCGTTTACCTGCCCATGTTTCCCTAATTAGCCCTCTGTATTTAAACCACCTGTTTTGCCCCTGTCCTTTGTCAGTTCATTGTTGTTGTTGTTTGTCGGTGTCCTGTTCATCCCATCCTGCCATTAAACCATTTTTACTTTTACCGAAGCCTGCATTTTTCCTCCTGCTCAGCTCAACCACACATGGTCCATCATCTCCACCTCCTACACCGTGACACATAGAGCTTGTCCTGTCATTCAGATGGAAGCTGCTCAGAAGCTCTCCACCACACCTGGGTCTCTTCAGGAGTGTAGAAGCTGCTCTGGGTGGAATTCCCATCATGGTCCCAGTGTCAGACACACAGCTGCTGGGAAGTTATGTGAAATATAAAGAAACGGCAACATTTATAGTTGTTTTTAAGAGCAGCAACACACGTGTAGCAATAAGCTAAAATAATGACATGATGTCAAAACTGGAAGGTAAAGAAAGACAGATGGTTAAATAATTCACCTGCAAGGCTCTAGCCTGGACTGGTGCAGGCTGGAGGACTACATCCGTCTTGGGCAGATTTAGCTTAAAAAATATAACATCACCTTGTTGTGAGAGTTTAGTAACTTAGATCGTGTACAAAACAAACCGTCTAATATATGTGCTTTATAACATGGCTGGTGAGTGATCTGACAGCTCTCAGAGCTAACTCAGTGTCCAGAATCAGACATGTTCTAATGAGAACCGGACTCAGCACCAGTTCAGAACCGGGTCAGCTTTTTAGCAGAAGGAGGAGCTGCTCATCAGTGTCCCTCCTGCTCTGCATCAGCGCTGATATTACTAACTGGTACAAAAACTCAACCCGAACCAGTCTGTGACATTATAACACACACAACACTCGCTTCGAGCCTGCGGTAGTGTGGACTGATTGTCTAAATTACGTGAACCACGTCCACGTCTTACTTTGTAATTATAAATATAGCTGCAAAATTACAGTTAGAGAATGATCTTTAGAAGCTGTTAAAAGTAATTATTTAGCTTACTCACCTCAGATTGGGCCCAAAATCTCCGTTTTGGGGAAGCGGCAGTCGGCGGGATCCGGCTAATTACTGGAACGGCATGTGAAATGCTCTTCAAACCAGCATAATCGGTTCAAGCTCCACCAAGTTGGTGAAGGAGTCTGATGTAAAAAATACTAAACTACAAAATCTAATAGCCAAGCTACTCGAACTAAATAATTTTAATACTAGAAGTTTTGCTGGGACTCTGACACAATGCTAATGCTAACTACAACACAACTCACTTATGAGCCCTGACTGCTACAAGGCTGGTTGAGACCGAGGTGCTTTTATAACCTACAGCCCTGCTACGTAGTACTTTTCTGAAATACATAGCATTGTTCTCATTAGCCATTGGCTAAAACCGACTCAAAATAAACGTGTTCTATACTTTTGAGCTGAAGATGGGGCTAGACTGACGTTTGTAGACAGATTTCAAGAAAACGCATCAAAATGCAAAAATAACTACACATGTCTACAACACTATTAGACACTCATTTATACTAGTTATCGGCTAAAATAAATTGATTTTGATGTGACTTGCTCTTTAAAGGGGCATTATGGAAGTTTGACAGCCAAAACATGTATAGAAATAATAAATTTCTTCTTTATACATTCTCCTGCAATATGCTGGTCCTGTAGAAAGAGCCCTGGCATTTTTACTGTGATTGCCTGTTTTTTCTGTAAAATCACAGCAAAAGAGAGATGCTCGGGTCGAGCAGGCTGCTTCATGCGCGTTCACGCTCAGGCATAGCCCGTAGCATTTGCTATCCGTAGCTTTAGCAGCAAAGAGAGAGGCATTGCCACTTTATCGCTGTTCCTCACGCCTAGTGACAAAGCTAGCTACATTTCTGAGGACCCTTAGCTACTTTCTGTAGAACTGTCTTCTAGATATTTCCTGCAAATAAGCAACAAAATAGCCATTTTCACTCCGTTTCAGCTGTCATCAAGGATTTAAAAGTTACAGATACAAAAGATGCCACTGGTGCTTTAGCTCACCTAGTAAGACGTCGGACTCCCGTGTAGAAGACATGAGTTTGATTCTGGATGTAAACATAACTTATTAAGAGTTTCTTTTACATTAATGGTATATTTATTTTACAGTAAGATGCCCAAATTTTTATTTGAGACTCGCCGAACGGCATTGAATTCACAGATGTCACGTGAGGAAATATGGGTTTTCTGTCACAAAGGTGGTGTTGGACTCAGCTGGGTCAAAGCTGGGTCGCTGAGAACTTTCACCCACAGATTAAGACCTGAACGCCAGCGAGTCTGGGAGGAAACCATAACATCTGCCACCTGCAGCGTCCAGAAGACGTGTTTCCATGAGTTGTACCCAGAACAAGTCAAAACATAAAGTTTAAACTTCCTTTTCTTGTTTTGAATGTTAAAAGTTTAATCATCAATTTGCTCATTATGAATGTGTTTTAATCAAATGAATGATTCTTATGCTTTGGGTAATTATAAGAGATTTAATGAATCCATTCTTAAATAATGTTTGAGGATGTTTGATGGCGACCTTCACACACACTCAAGCACACACCCACACACAGATTCTCTCAGTAAACTCCAAAACACATTTGCTGACGCACACGTTTGCTTTGAGAAGAGAAAGGCTTTTGGTAAGTTTCAGTCTTGATTTCAGTTCGTGCTTGACAACGAAAGAGAGAGGACCTGAATAAACGCTAAAAGGGGGGAGCCGGTTGGCTCGTTTCTCCCCCCCCTCTCACGCTGTTCCTGTTAGCCAGACAGGACAGCTGAATCGCAACTTCTAACGCAGACTCATACAGAGTTTTTGATTTCTGAGTGAATTAACTTAAGAAAGCGCATCGACAAAACGCTTTACCATCAACGTGTACCGAGGGCAACTCTGGACCGGTTCGCGGCGCATCTTTGTCTTCTTTGCCAGCCAAGGTGCCCTGGATGAAACATCATCCTAAGGTGACGTCCCGGGTCCAACAGGGGGTCCGATTTTCGGTGAGGCAAAACACGACAGATAGCGTTTTGATGCATCTTTTCCAACTAAACCTAAGTTTATTCAAACCATCACTTTTCACTCAGACAACTGTTTCTTCCTGAAGCAAAATCAGATGCACACACGCATTCATCTCACCTCATGTTCAATTCTCACGACACTTTGCACACACACGCATCCATAACCACATCCTATTACTCTCAACCTTCATTCACCAACAGAAGGTCTATTTGAGAAGAACAGCATATCAACTGTTAAAGATTGTCCCACAAAGTTGCCAATGTTGATTGTTATTTCCTGTTTGTCAATTTCAAAATCATTAGTTTAATTTGAAGAATTAAAACTTTTAATTGTCAAACTGGTTTCCTCATTGAACTGAAACACAGACACACAGATATTATCGTCAGTTTATCGATGAAAACAACCTTTGAGTCTTCTTAACAATATAACATTTGGTTATTGATTTATTAAAAATTAATATTCCGAATTAATACGTAGCATGGTTCCTCTTTCATAAAAGAGCATAAAACCACAACGCTACAAATATGGCTGAGCAAACCAATTTCTCCTAGAATATGGCGAGCGTATCCAGACTTCTATATCTGCGATATATCTGATTTGAAACATCTAAGAGCTAATTTTAACACATTACGCCTTTTCTCTGTGTTTCACTTTGATGTCTTATTTTGAAAAAAAAAAAAAACGGAAATTATTCCGCTGAAGTCACTCTTCCAGGAGACGTCCTGGTGGAAACTTGACGGTGGAAGATCTCCGATCTCAAATTGTCCGCAAATTACAGACAGTACATTGATTTATCCCATCTTCGCCTTCGGAGCGAACGTGTGAGTTGTGCTTTTGGCTAAATTCTGCCCATTTTGACGCGACGCCGCGCCTCTAATCTCTTCAGGTCGGAAAGCTACATTTCCGCTCTGAAACTTGCTGGGTGAGCTACCGTGAGCAGCTTATCCTCAATCCTAAAATTAAGACTAAATTCTCCGAATTCTCGGACACCCTTCGTCTCAGTGTGTTGACACTGTGGGCGAGCTATTGTGGAAGATATTTCCATTACATAGGCGACTGTTCGAAGCCGAACCTTACCGGAATACTTGTTAGCACCTACCGTAGCTTAACTTGCTAGGTAAACGCTGTAAGTCGGGTTATTACCGTAGAGCGTTACTGCATCCAGATTGCGTACGCTTCAAAGTCCGTTTTAGCCGCGGAGCGAGATGCCTGCTGGTTAATCGGGCAAATTTAAGTCTGGTCGCTACAGACAAAAAGCTAGACCTAGCCGGAGAGCTAAGCTAGCGAGCCACAGTTGGACAAAAAGGGAACGCGTCCCATTAAATTGTCAAACCATTTCTGACACAGTCCGTCTGTGTCCTCCCGAAACCCGCATTGGCGGTGGTTCTTGTAAATCACTACGGTGTGTAGAATCTACATTTTGCTACGTTTGTCCGTCTGATACCAACACGGCAGCGTAGGTTTTATTATTTTTTATTTTTATTTTGGACCGCTGTACGGGTCGGCTTTCACAGCCTCCGTTGCTCGGATCCATGCCTTTTTCTTCCATCTTGTGAAGTTGTGTACATTCATTTCTCTATCAACAGCTCCTTGTTTTACCCTGTGTCATAAAGTTAAGTTACGCTACGGACAGTCCTTGATTGTGAGATGAATTAAGGAATTTGCCCGGAGTTTTACGTCGACTCAGAAGGTAAAAACGCGAGTTGCTCTGAACTTAATGAGGGATGG